CTGCAGTAATTGGTGAGCTATTCTTCAGGGTCATAAACATTGGAAAATGAAAAAGCCTTATGTTTGGATGTCTTATTTATCGTTAAAAATTAAACAAAACATAGAAATACATATTTTGAACTTCATTGGGTCAATTACAGTGTTACTGAAAAAACCCCACCTAATATGTTAAAAAAAATGCTAACAGAGACTACAATAAACAATTCTACCACGTTGCCAAAGGTCTCTAAGAAAAATAGAAAAAAGCTTCTTTATTAGATCAGCTAGTGTATGAATGCCTGATGTTAAGTTTTTGGTCCAAAACCATAGAGCCTGATGTTCTCTGTTTATTGAACTAGATTTTTGTTAAGCTTTTTTCCGCACTACGTGATGCCACCAGGCCAAGTGTCAGGCTCTGCCTCAGAAACCACCCACCGGCCGTTCTTTGCCCAGTATGGCTACGGCTGCCATTCCTGCTTAACTATCCAGTACATAATTGTGCTTCACATGTTGCTTGGTCTCTGGTATTTTTAGATCAGAAAATGTTCTCGCCGGAAAAAAAAGCTGGGTAGAAGAAATTAAGGAACTTAATAACTGGGTATAGCCAAAACATCTTTAAATCTAACAAAAGTGTCTTACTCATAGGATCTATTTTGAGAAGCTCTAATGTTTTTTTATTTTTATTTTAAGAGCAAAAATGTCTGTACAACAAGATGGAAGTTTTTGTTTTTTTTAAATACAGATGGTGAAGTCAGGAATTGCAACCAAAATACATAATTCAACCCAAGAAGACTCAGAAACCAGTTGAATAGACACCTCTAGAAAAAAAAAATGCATGAGGTCAGCCCTCCGGCTATTGTGAGATGATACTTTTCAAACCAGCCATTTCTCCTTTAGGGGTAAAAGACTGCCAATCAAGCGTGCAATTTACTGTGAAAAAAGAAACAAAGTAAGAGGTTCCCTGAGGTATTGTCCACATAGACTTTGTCGGCTGCTTTTAACTTAAGCCGATGGCATCTAACATCTCCTCCCAAAAACTCTTTTTTTGGTAAAAAAAAAAAAAAAAGTAGTGGGAACAGATGGGATAAAGAAAAGGGAAGTGGTCCCAATTGAGGAAAAGCAATTCTGAGTGTTTTCCAGTTTCAACTGACTGATTGGCATGTATGACACAGTGACAGAAGAAAAAAATACTCCCAGAGGATTAAACAAGGTTTTGTCTTCAAAAGCCTCACGGATCAAGAGGGGAAACTGGAAAGAGTATTATTTCAATGCATGTAGCTGGCTGGTATCTGGATGAAATGCTAATTGCTCTTCAAAACAGGACCGATTCAACAGAGAAGTAAACTTGGTTTGATTCACAACTCACTGACCACTGCATCATTTCAATGACCATTCCATGCTTCACTGGTGATCTGTTTATTTTCTGTGTTCAATCTTTGTCACAGCATTTTTACTTTTATTACAACCACTTTTTCGAAAACTGGCCTCCTCTACAACAGCGTCCAAAGCGTCATTCTTGTATTTCCTCCTTTTTTTGTTTTAGTCTTACTTAAGCATTTCTGTAGGACATGTGACATTCACATGTTCGATATTTTTTATTTTCAAGTAAATCAGTTAAAGGAAGAAATAATTTCAGCATTTTTCTTGTGGTAAATAAACTTTAGTTTAATCTGTACAAACAATTCCTACCCCTTTGTTCACACAAGATACAATTCTTGGGAAAACAGAAAATTCACCTGGATTTGATCAATAATAGGGATCAGAGACTGATAAAGTATACAAATATACATATATAGGGATGGACCATTAATAATTGTATTTGTAACAAAATCACAGTTGTTTGACTGTGATACACACAAATAAAAAGAGAAAGATACTTACCTTTTCACTCCAGACATTTAGGGGATGCTAATACGGTTAAAGTGGGTTTGCTCCCCAAAGAATAGTAAAGAAAGTTACAGCTAGCATGAAGATATACGGATGCAAGTAAGGTCAAGCTAAAAGGGGACTCTGGAAAGGGTTTTATTTATATGAAACCCTGGAGCAAAAACAAGTTTATGCTGAGGATTAATGCAGAGGAAAATCTAAATAAATATGCAAAAATAAATTTACATTTTGGGCAAAATAAGACAGGCATCATATTTAGCTAGTCAGATGTCAGTCCTGGCAGATGCTGACAACAACACAGTTTACATTGCCTAAAATATAAAAATTTTAAAATATCATATAAACAGGGGAGGAAAACTGAAGTGTTTTACCTCAGGAGATGTGGAGATTTACTTTCCTGCCAAATGAAATAGATGGATGAAAACCAGGAGATTAGGTTTTCCTTTCATCTCACCAAAACACTTTCTTCCTCATCTTTTTTGTGCAAAATTGCAAAGGTCAGATTTGCAAAAAGCACAACTAATAAACCAAACTGAGCTGTGGACTTTAACAGCTCCTATATAGAAATATTTTTCTTTTATAAACTTGAAAGAAATCGTCACTCGGAATGTTTCAGAAAGCACAGTGATCTGGATTTTCTGATTGCTTTTACATCCTTCTTTTGTCTCTAACAAAAATTAGGTAAACTGTTTGTAGAAATAAAAAGGACAGATGGCCATGAAGGCTTCCCAAGCGTACGAAATGTGTCACCAGCTCAACTTCTGCCTTTCAAAGCTGGTCATCTTCCAGGCTGTTTGCAACAACAATTTCAATGTCTCCCTTTGAGTTCATTTCAGTGAACACTTCAAAATATGATGCATTCCTTTGCTGAGAGATATATGATATATGAGATATATGATAAGAAATAATAAGAAATTGATGCCATAGAAAATGTTACAAGTAAAACTAGTACTAAAAATGTCTAGGTTTGCTTGGGTATTCTGTTGCCATGCTTCTGTTTTACTGACTTGGTAATGCTGTACTCACCAAACAGTCTGCTTATTAAGTTTCTTCCACTGTTATTTGAAGGTCAGAGCTTTTTCCATTACAGCCCCTGACTGCATGCTTTGGCTTGTCCCACTCAAAGGTGAGCTTCTTTACTAGCCGCAAGTTTTCTTCTAGGACTTTTAGAATCAGATTCATCCCTTTTTTCGCTATAGAAAAGCAAGCCAAGTAAAACCGTAAGGATGATGCATTCTTGACTAGGTCCAGCGTTAGTTTTGGGGCATTTATAGAGTTATGTGTGCTTTAAATGGTGTTTGGCAAAATGCACAGGCTTTCTTGTAGCTTTCTTTAAAAAAAAAATACTTTCTTATTGCCACTCTTCTATAAAAGGCCAGATTCTGGAGTGCATGATGCTGTCCATTCAACAGGTTCTTCCATCTCTGGGTATCTGCAGTCCCTCCAGAGACACCATAGATGCAGGTGGTGAACCAAGTCTGTGCAGATCCACATGGTTGCTATGATCTCTCCTGTGTATTTGATTGAACATAGCTCTATTGGATGCTCAGAGCCTCAGATATTGTCTCACAGATCAACCTGTTTTAAATCTTTCCAAAGATGTTTTTGTACAGTAAATATGGAAAAAGAGTTTAGACAGAAACTTAAAACTTTTCCCAACAACACCTGTGTCAAAAAGATCCACCAAGGCAACTGTTGCAGACCACCACCCTCTTCTCCACTGCCACACAGTGAGAATGTGATCTCCTCCCCGCATCCCCACCAACCATCAATCTTCTCCTGTCTGTAACGTGCAACACTTCAGCACCTCTCATAATGAACAGGCTGGGTTTATGGCTCAGCCCCCCTTTTGTAATGTGCAGCCGTGAGGAGGGGGTGAGACAGAAGGAGAGCGAGGCAGGCAATAAAACAGTTTCCGCCCAGTGAATCACATTCAGACCCTCACACAGGCAAATGGGGGCTGACCCCTGCCAGGCAATGACATAAACACTGACAGACAAAAGACTTGAGCTTCTGGGCAAGTGAGGATCTTAGAGGACACCAAAGCTGCAAAAACAAATCCCAAGACACCTCTGATAGGAATAGAGAGATTGAGTCTCAGGGATGTGAAATGGCAACTTTTTTTCCATCTTAAAAAAAAAATAGAGAATAGGAAAAATGCACACATTTCCATAAAATTAAAAAGACTATAATGTGAGGTCTGATGCTGAGGAGGAGCAGGTGTAACTGTTGAATGGATACAGAATAAGCTCTCACAATCCAACTGAGAGAGAAAAGGATTGAACTCTGCTGAGGCGCCACAGATGAAGCAACAATAGAGATTTGTCAGGGACGCTGCGAGATGACATCATGCCAGATCAATTAGAGATAAAGAGAATATATTCTAAATTCAAAGACTGAGAACTCTATTAGAACTGCTGTGATTTATGGAGCCTGGGCATAAAGGGTGGACTCAAAGAGCGGCTCCATATGCCTTCCTTTATCAGTAGCAGCACATGTGCGCAGCTCAGAGTGGGCCAAGATTACTTCTAGTCCGGTATATAGATTAGATTAGGCGGCTGGGTCTGCATGAGAGGGTCCCCTCCCCTAGCTCTCCGTGTGTGCCAGTTGTTTTATTTCAGTGGGAGAGGGAGAGCCCACACAAAGCGCGGTGATCACAGTGGAGATCCTGGATGTAACCATGGAAGCGTTTGTCTCCATTCTCAACGGGCTGCCCCGCCATTCATTTAAACTGATTGCGCTGAATCAATATTTAGGCTTTTCAATTTTATTAGCTGCTCTGAGGGGTATTTTTGGCTGAAATTAGCTGTGGCCGAGCACTTTTAATCGTTTTCTTTGAGTCTCGCACAATGCGGCTGTCTTGAAGCTGTCTGGCATAATTGATGAGGAGGATTTCTACTCATTTGTGGCCTTTATTCTCTACACTATTAATTTACCATTGGCAAAATCTGATAAAATTACTAGTGATTATATCTAACTTCATTTATAACTAATTTACTCGTTGTTGTCATGGAAAAAACACAATGAAATCTTTTGTTAGGATTAAAGTAAAGTTTTTTTCTTTCTTTTTTACATAATGCATCACAGTTTAAGGTTCACGACAAGGAGCGTTAGAATAAATCATGGGAACTTACCTGACACCTTTCTTGGTCCTCACCGCCCAAGATAATTAACAATATTTTTACAGCTTTAAAGACATCGATGAGCGCTCCCAAAAATCCTCTGTTCCGCCTTCATCCGCAATCATCCAGCAATTAAAAATTGCATGGTGTCGTTTCTAGATCCCAGAGAGCAGTTTTGCGCTGAAGCGCGTCTGTCATCTAACGGGGCGCTCAGGGGCCAAACTGCGCGCGTTCCCCTCTTTCTTTCCTTTCCAGAGCCGCTTTCCACACCTCACAGCTCCGCACTGACTGCAGCCATGTGGAAGCTCCCACTGGAGGAGATTAGTTTATAGCTTACTTAGAGGCTCAAGCACGTATGTCGGTGAAGTGTAATGAGACGCGATGTTTTAATCCTGTTTGTCTTCAAGGGGTGAATCCAGTGCTGTCCTATACGTTTGCCAACGGCGCCACCGTGAGGAACAAAAAGATAACGCCTCAATAAAAAAAAAAAGATTTTTGTGACTGAGATCTCATCAGTAAGGAAGAGGATTAGGGCCACTGTAAAAAATAAAATAAAATAAAGTGAACGGATTTTTAAATATTATTTAGTTTAATCTGGGGAATTCTGACCTTTTCTCAGAATTTTGACTTTAATCTCATGTTGGAATACTGAGAAAAAAAGTCATAGTTCCGAGATTAAATTAAGAATTCTGAGATTAAATTCAGAATTAAAAAAAAGTCCGAATTCTGAGATTAAAGTCAGAATTCTCACTTTAATCTTAGAATTCTGACTTTTTTCCCATATTAAACTGAAATAAAATTTAAAAATCAGTTAACTTTTCTAACTAATCTATTGGCCCTAATCCTCTTCCGTACATCAGGATGAAATCAGCCAAATGTTCCTTTTTGTAAAAAAAAAAAAAAAATCTAAAAATTCATGATTACAGCTTTCCTCAATGAAAAACACACATTAAGAAAATCTGAATAAGAGCTACATAAAAGTAATGTAAAATCAATATTTTAGATAGGGAAATAACCAAATTAGACAACTTTCATGAAATACACGCTGTGTATACAACATTTTTTTTTTGTTTAGTACATTTTTAATTGCTAAGATAATTATCACTGATGATGTGTGACTTTATTACACCTTTATATTAGCTGCCTGTTGCGTGTCAGAACTGAAGTTTTCCACAATAGTTTATCTAATCTGTCTAGATATACAGTTATATTCTTCATTGTGTATGTGGGAAATATTTGGGAATGGAATGAGAGCTGTTTCCTTCAGCTAAGAACAAAGTGTAATATTTTGATAAGGCTGTAGGCATGGATGTCTCCTCATCTGCAAACGTGAATGATGTGGCAGACTGGAGATGTATAAAGTTTCTTTTTAACAGTTAATCAGGGCCAGAGGTGAGCAGCTTTCTTCTGTAAACTAAAACAACATATACAGTACATATATATATATATATATATATATATATATATATATATATATATATATATATATATATATATATATATATATATATATATATATATATATATATATATATATATATATATATATATATATATGTGAAAGGAGCTAGAAAAGATGTGGAAAGTAAGAGCAGCAGTGGTGCCAGTGGTAATTGGAGCACTGGGGGCCGTGACCCCCAAACTGGGAGAGTGGCTACAGCAGATTCCAGGTAAAACATCAGAGGTCTCTGTCTATATATATATATATTTGTGTGTGTGTGTGTGTGTTTATGTATATGCTGGTTTATGTATTATATTATATTATGTTTTCATGTATATGTTGATATGTTTCATGTTGATGAGTAGAAAAAGTGAGCAACAGTTCCAGAAAATATCTAAATGTGGAAATCAATGTAAGAAAGAGTATTAAGTATTGCTGAGACTAGCTTTAATCTCCAAAACTTTCCAACTGCCCAGTACAAGGGGAAACGTGGATCTTTTCTCTTCCCTCCTCAGAGCTTCACAATAAAAGCTCACATTCTGCCTTCACAATAAAAGCTCAATTTCTGCCTTCACAAAAAAAGCTTATATACTGTTGTAAAACAGTGATATGTGTCCAACACATATACCTATTTAAACCTAACATCAGCCTTCATCTAGAGAAATTTAAAACTAAACTAAATGTACTAACTAAATTTAGCTCTGGGGCTTTTTTTTTTTTTTATCCTTGTCACACCCCTTTCATTGCAATTATATAACTGTATAAGATTCCTTAAAGTTTATTTAACAATGGCAGCAAAAATGTGTAACTTAACATTTAAAGAATAAGATTATTTTCAGACAAATACTGTCCAGTTTCGGGGTCAAACCACTTTTAGTGCCGCCCCACCGTAAAAATCGGGAACGGTTGGGATGAAACGACGTGCCTGCGTCATATGCGTCATTACGTAAATATTTGTTGACGTGGCCTGAGCGCACAGCAGTCAGTCAGCACAGTCTAGCAAGCAGGTAAAACGACAACCAGGGATAAGGTGAAACCGAAAAGAATCCTGCGGAGTTATGGGGATTACTGTCGACTATTAACCAAGCTGGTTTCTAATATATCAGGTAAAATATGAGTGTGTGGAAATATAATTCCGATAGCTGTTGATAAGCTAACGTCAGCTAAGTATCCCTAATGTGAACGCTGTGTAGCATTAGCATACTTTAGCCACAATTGACCCGAGTTTTCTAAATAGCGAAATTAAAAAGAGATAATTTTGATTACTTTTTTGGCAAAACATTTAAACCAACCGCTAACCCGAGTCATCTTTGATGTATTTTTTATGGGGTGAGTTGCTGTTTTAACAGTGATGTCTGCTAACCTGTTACCCTAAACTGAATTTAGGGTGATAAAACCGATAACACTAACTGACACCCATAAACGGTCGGTTATCAAGATAAGTTTGGTTTATATCCTCTCGCGTTAGTTGAGTATTCCTCACTTAGTGTTAGCTTAGTTTTTCTTTTGCTTGGACATTTTTTAGTTTTGTGTATACCTACTTTGGCACCTATGTGCTTTGTTTATAGCAGGTACTGTATGTCTAAAGGGACAGATTCCTGATCTTATAAGTTTTGCCAACCTTAGTATAAGATTTTATGTTTCAGAGCGACCTTAGTGCTATCTCTGTTTTTATAGAGAAGTTATGTAATTGTTACAGGCAAAATACCTATTTTGTTTCTTGATAACTTTACAGCTGCAGTGTAACTAGGTGCTATGTATCTCTAAAGATAAATAAACATTATTGCTTGCACGAAAGGACTAATCACCCATGGGCCCTAGAGGACCCTAGAGCCAGGGACCAAATACTTTGAGATGCACTAATCATAACTTAGTAACCCTTTAAAAGTTTTTGATATTAAAAAAACAAAGAAAAAAGCTTTTATCTGTCACTGCTGTGCATTAGAGAATTTACTACAAATATGATTTTACCGCTGAAATAGTAAACTGTGTTTAGAATTGCTTATATTATTAAGTGACACCACTTTTATCAGCTAAAGAGTAATCCCCATTTTGATACTTCAGGTTTAAAAATATGCATAGTTATGTTTAGGGCTGGGTAAAAAAAATCGATTTTGAATTGATTCCTTTACATTTTTGCAAAAATCGATGTCTAGGGAATTCAAATGAGCAGCAAAGATGCACTCAACATTACTTCAAGCCAGGCGGCTGCAAAAATAGCTAATAGGTTGATTGAAGACATTAACAAATGGGGGCTGACCAGCAAACACCCTGTAGTTGTTACAGACAATGCTGCAAATATGATTTGAGGAGTGGAGATAATGCAGCTCATGCATGTCTGCTGTGTCCCCGCTGGGTCACGTCTGCTTGCTCTAGTGAAGCTTTTTCACTTTTCACAAACAAGTTTGCACTTTTGAGATAATTTTGTTCACATCTCAAGTTTAACGGTCCAATTTACAAGTTTGCACTTTGGGTTTAATATGACTGGAAAAAATAAAATACATGAGCCCTAATTATGTCAACTGAAATCTCCATAAAACTGCTTATTGAAATCCATATTCAGAATGATTTGTTTCAGTCCTGTTCTATATACTAATATGGGAATGAGTTACAACAATTGTTTCCTAAAATCACTTTGAAATAACAAATCCAATTTACCTACAGAGGTATATTGGTACTTTAATGTAATAACTTAAAAAAGACAAAGTTATTCTCAAGAAATATGTATTCTTTAAAACATTGCAATCCACTTCAGTTTGTTAGAGAAACTGTTAAAATGTTTTGTGTCTAACTAAGCTCAGCTTACCTTTTAGGGTCACAAACTTTGGAGCACAATCTCATTCTGACCCGTTTATTTGGCATTGGATGGCAGAACTCCACTAAATGGAAATAAACCTTCCTGCAGAACTCTGCTAAATGTGACCAACCATCTTCCCTAATAGCACTGAAGGATTTTGCCAAAAGTAAAGATTGTGCTTACTTTAAACCAATATTGCGATTGCAATTTTATTTAAGTTTTCCTTTGCACTAATCACAATCATGTCAATGTTTTAGTAGAGGGTTTCCGTTTTTTGATTTCTTTGATAGCTTGCTTATAAAGACTCCATTGATGCAAAACTACTGTAACGGCCAGAACACACCGAATACACATCCGCTTTACTTGAATGAAAGATTAAAAAAATGACAGTGTACCCATGCTAGGAATTCACAGGACATAAAACTGATAAAGTAGTGATCTGCAAAAACGACAAGGGACAGAGAATGCAGTTTGTCAATCTCATTGAAAAGGAAAAATACTTCAGGAGGAGGAAAAACTGATATAGTAAAATAGTAAACCTCTTTGAGCCTCATAAAAAAACAAAATAATGAGGGCAGACAGAGCAGGTAAGTGTGGTGTCTTTCAACTCTTTTTGGAAAAATAAGAAAGAAAAACTTCAAAGATCTCTAAGAATCACCTCCTACTGCCCCAGTCAATATGTCAAATGAGGAAAATTGTTTTAATTTGTGTGGCAGAGAGACAGAAGTGAAAAAAATCTGTGCAGATCTGCCCACCCTGCCTAGTCACAGTCAGTGTGACATGGGGAAAAAAATCGAGCGGAGATTAAAAAGTTGTATGAAACCGGTGTGTTCTGGCCTTAACTTCGGTGTGGAACAAGTGCTAAATTCTAGTTGCATGAATGAATTGGCATGTAAGCTGCATTTTTTTTCTTCCCTTCTGTGTGGTTTCAAACCTACTTTAAGCATATCATTGCCACCTAAAGCTGCAACGTTGACCAAAGTTGAGTGCATCTGCAATTTAGAAATAGAGTTTTCTTATATCTCAATCATGTTGCAAATGAAAGCAGTGGCTCAGCTCTTTTCCTTCACTAACTACAGGTGCTGGTCATAAAATTAGAATATCATGAAAAAGTAGATTGATTTCAGTAATTCCATTTAAAAAGTGAAACTTGTATATTATATTCATACATTACATACAAACTCATATATTTCAGATGTTTATTTTGTTTAATTTTGATGATTACAAATGACAACAAATGAAAATCTCAAATTCATCATATCAGAAAATTAGAATATTGTGAAAAGGTTCAAAATTGATGGCCCCTGGTGCCACACTCTAATCAGCTAATTAACTCAAACCACCTGCAAAAGCCTTTAAATGGTCTTTCAGTCTACTTCTATAGGCTACACAATCATGGGGAAGACTGCTGACTTGACAGTTGTCCAAAAGACGACCATCGACACCTTGCACAAGGAGGGCAAGACACAAAAGGTCATCGCTAAAGAGGCTGGCTGTTCACAGAGCTCAGTGTCCAAGCACATTAATAGAGAGGCGAAGGGAAGGAAAAGATGTGGTCGAAAAAAGTGTACAAGCAAGAGAGATAACCGCACCCTGGAGAGGATTGTGAAACAAAACCCATTCAAAAATGTGGGGGAGATTCACAAAGAGTGGACTGCAGCTGGAGTGAGTGCTTCAAGAACCACCACACACAGACGTATGAAAGACATGGGTTTCTGCTGTCGCATTCCTTGTGTCAAGCCACTCTTGAACCACAGACAGCGTCAGAAGCATCTTGCCTGGGCTAAAGAGAAACAGGACTGGACTGCTGGTGAGTGGTCCAAAGTCATGTTCTCTGATGAAAGTAAATTTTGCATTTCCTTTGGAAATCAAGGTCCCAGAGTCTGGAGGAAAAGAAGAGAGGCACTTCATCCACGTTGCTTGAAGTCCAGTGTAAAGTTTCCACAGTCAGTGATGGTTTGGGGTGCCATGTCATCTGCTGGTGTTGGTCCATTGTGTTTTCTGAGGTCCAGGGTCAACGCAGCCACATACCAGGAAGTTTTAGAGCACTTCATGCTTCCTGCAGCTGACCAACTTTTTGGAGATGCAGATTTCATTTTCCAACAGGACTTGGCACCTGCACACAGTGCCAAAGCTACCAGTACCTGGTTGAAGGACCATGGTATCCCTGTTCTTAATTGGCCAGCAAACTCTCCTGACCTTAACCCCATAGAAAATCTATGGGGTATTGTGAAGAAGAAGATGCAATACACCAGACCCAACAATTCAGAAGAGCTAAAAGCCACTATTAGAGCAACCTGGGCTATCATAACACCTGAGCAGTGCCACAGACTGATCGACTCCATGCCACGCCGCATTGCTGCAGTAATACAGGCCAAAGGAGGCCCAACTAAATACTGAGTGCTGTACATGCTCATACTTTTCATGTTCATACTTTTCAGTTGGCCAACATTTCTATAAATCCTTTGTTTTTATTGGTCTTCAGTAATATTCTAATTTTCTGATATGATGAATTTGAGATTTTCATTTGTTGTCATTTGTAATCATCAAAATTAAACAAAATAAACATCTGAAATATATGAGTTTGTATGTAATGTATGAATATAATATACAAGTTTCACTTTTTAAATGGAATTACTGAAATCAATCTACTTTTTCATGATATTCTAATTTTATGACCAGCACCTGTATAGTTTTGAGAAGTCAGAACGTTCTGCCAAAAAAACATAGACATGCTTGTTTAGGAGTACTTACTGTGTTTCTATGTAAAAGAGTTTGTGGCAGCTGTTTCAGGGGGTAGATTTAGGAGACAAATACAGCTGCCTGTACAGAAAAAAAAGACAAGCTATCTCTCTCAAGCAGGTAAGCTCTGAGTTGTAACCAGAGGAATTAAAAGGTATTCAGTGGCAGATATTTCTTTGTCTAGCAAATAGAAGGGAATTGACCACAGAAAGATGAAGTCAAATGTTATGTTTTAAGAGAGAACAAGATGTTTATGCAGCAATAACTCAACCAGTGGTTCCATTTAGGAAGCTAATCACAGCTAACGACCTTAGAGACCACCAGGGCAGCAATAACTCATTTAAAGAGGAATAAAAGCAGACATAACTTAAAGCGAATGGTAGCTATAACTACAGATCATGCCCAAATGGAGAAAGTAGCAGTAAGAAAGTGTTTAGCAGCCCAAGACAGAATGACCTAAGCAGTACCCCAGGGCAACCTTAGCCTCTCCAAATATAAACTCACCTTAATCCAAACTGAATTTAAAAAGTTGTGTGCCTGTCTGCTTCAGACAAAATATGTGAGTTGGCTCTGCTGAGAACAGCCTTAAACCATAAAGTCTAAAGATTAGCTGATTTTCAGTACTTTGTTCCGCTTTCTTTACCTATGCCTGAAGTCTTATGCTTTTACCCACTCTAGTATTCTGAATTAAAACTAGCTTTTAACTAGCTTGTCCTTTCTTTGTTCTTCAAAACCTAATCTTAAACCCGTTGCTGATGCTAAGATGACTAACTGTACGTTTTCTTTCTTAGTAATAATTCCCACGTGCAGAGTAGAGTAGTTAATGTGAGATGAGTGTTTAATAAAACTGGCTTAGTTTGGCTCATTTAGTTATAATTTGGGCTCCATAAAGCTGGTGAGTGCCAAGTCTGATTTGGTTCCTATGGCAACTGATCCAGTGAACTTAGTCTGGTTGGGACTAGGTTTAGAGCTTAGCAGGTTTAAACTATGGGCCTTCTTTGTCATCAGATATGCAAAACTAGCCAGTGTTGTGCATCTTTCAGCTTCACTGTTGGCTGATCATTAACGCTAGTAGCTGATCTCTAGATCTGTTAGAAATAACTCTTTTCTTGTCTTTTTTTTTTATTTTTTATGAAACACTTGTCTAGAGTCAATGCTAATACTATTTTTTTTTCTTTCTTTTTTTTTTGACGGTTGAAGAAAATGTCAAGTAGAAATCAACACTATGGGTTCCAGTCAGCCACCATGGTGCAGCCTGCAAACGGCGGCCATGCCTACCTGTTTGGAACCAACAGCTCGGAGAACGACCTGTCAGAGGAGGACGGAGAGAGCTTTGAGCTCCGGTCACGCGGTAAAGAGAGGATGCGGAACAGCACCTCCAAGGAGCGACTGGACGACATCATTTACCTCAGCAAAACCATCCAGGAGGGGGACACCCTGAACAGCATTGCCCTGCAGTATCATTGCTCAGTATGTTTTTTTTTTTTTTTTTTTTTATTTAATTAAACTTTAAGCCCCCCTCCCTCCACATTTTTACAATTGTAATATATCCATGAAATGTATCCCATCTGTTACATTACCTTACTTAAGAAAGAATAAAGTACGATATATTTATGATTGAAGGGTTGCCTTAGATTTTAGGCTAATCAGATTAAATGATTGTTTTATTTTGCAGGTGGCCGATATTAAACGAGCCAACAGCCTCTTGACAGAACAGGACCTCTTCGCTCTACGTTTGATTAAGATCCCTGTGAGGCGCTTCAGTGTCCTCACAGAGACTCACATCGTTGGTCCTTCTAAGTCTGCCTCACCCTCTGGGGCCAGACAGCTGCCCCAGACATCGGCCGCCCTGCCTCTCCCCACAGAGTCCTCCACAGACTCTTGTTCTTCTGCCGACAGCGTCGAAGGATTCCTTCTAGAGAAGGACAAGGACATCGAGCAGCTGGTGAAATCCACAGGACCATCTCGGAGCAGCCTCAGTGAGGTAGTCTCATCCTTGACGCAGCAGCAGCCACTGCTGGGAGAAGTAGAGCGTAAAAAAGCTCAGAGAAAGGACCCCTACTATGGAGCCGACTGGGGCATGAGATGGTGGACTGCTGTTGCCATCATGCTGTTTGTTGGGGTCGTCACACCTGTGTTTTATCTGCTCTACTATGAGGTTGTCGCAAAACACAAGGATGGTGCCGCTGTACATACGGTCACTGTCCCGACTAACGGAGATAAGCACGCTGAGCAAATGAAAGGTAAAATGTTGAACGTTCCTGAAGAGAACGGCCGGCCTGCAGAGGGACCTAAACCTGGGGACAAAGCAAACCTACAGAGAGAACCCGAAGAAAACGCAGCTGCTGCCAATGATCCAGTGCTTAAGAAAACGTAGGATTTAATTCCCACATGTAATAAAGTCAATTTATTAAACTCCTTTTCCTAATTTCAAATAGCCTTATCTTAATGAAATGTTAGTCTGAGACGGATTGAAAATAGTAAAGGCTGGCAAACGGGTAGTATTACAGTAATGTCAGACTGTCCATTTATGATTTTTAAATTGAGAGCTATAAGGGCTGGAAGATAATAAACCTCACATTTTAATGCCAGCTGAGTCCCTGTACCCAGTGTAGACGGCAGGATTTGTTAATTTATATTGATGCACTTTAAACAAGCTGTGGAGGAATATGTATCTAAGAAATTAACTCATTTATAAAAGCTGTGTCCTCAAATATTAGTTGTGGATTTTCTGCAGCATTTTTATTTAGTTTTGTCCAAATCTGAACTGGAGCTAAACCACTTAATGTTATTTGAAATGCTAGACTGCTAATTAGAATTAATTTATTGTGAAAAGTGAGCAGTCATTTTTTTTTTTACACTATCAGTATTTGATGACTGACTCTTAGATAGCTATAATGAACCACCCTGTTATTCCCATTGAAAGTAAGAGTTTGATGAAACATTTAAAATCTTTTTGCATAGCCCTTTTATTCAGTCAGTGTTACTTGGATTTTCTTTAGCAAAGCATAATTGACAGTATGTGCCTTTAAACTGTGGTCCAGCGTGGAGAATAAATAAATATATTTTCAATACATTCTTCTGTTGATTTTTAGTCATTCTTATTTACAGTGATGTTCAAAGAAAATCATGTATTAACTTAAATATCAAACATTTAACTCATAGCCACTATGTTCCAGTTGGAGTCCTGCTGTTTCAATATGTAGCTTCACCATCCATATTGTCGTCACTGTCGGCCCCAAAATCTTCTCCGTTGTCAAAATAACTCTCAATGTAGTCATTGTCCTGCACAGGAAAACAAAGTTCAATGTTTATTTTCAACATATTTGTACTAAGCATATCTTTAAACGTGTTCTTCGTTTACCTCTTCAACGTCTTCCTCCTCGTACTCTTCCTCCTCTATTTCTTCTTCATCCTCGTTTGTGGTTTTCTTTTCTTCATCGTCTGACTTTTCAGCATTTCCGTCGTCTTTCTTCTCCAGTTCCTGACAATTCCACACAATGTCTGAGACTACAAAATATATTTTTTATGCAAATCTGTAAAGATCATGAAAGTAATTGGATAGATTTGAATAAAATACCTATAGATTCCTCTGGAGTTCATTGCAAAATATACCTTTTTTTTTTTTTTTCTGCACAATTGCAAACTGCTAATTATTTTTTAGGACTTTTAAGCATCAGATAAATACACGGTGCATAATATTTAACTTTTGAAATATTTTAACTAAAAGCAATTTAGAGTACTTAAAAACATTAAGCATGATGTGCATATTGGATAAAACACCCTAAAATAAAATCCTGTGCACCAAATTGTCTTCAATTAATACATTCCACTTGAGTATTTAAAATATAAAGACAGCTGTCGTGTAAAAGACTTAGAGGTTTAGCACACAGTATAATTTCAAAATAAACAGACTGTGCCTTTAAACTTTAGTCCAACATTGAGAATAAATGTATTAAAAATGGAAACCATATCTGTTAACCTACATAGACTTTACTTCCTCTGACATGCTAGGAAAGGAGCAGAGAAGAAGTGGAAGTGGTAACTGGAGGAGCTGCAGAGTTACACAGCTCATTATCCACTAATCTGGCCTTTATGCAAAAAAAGCCAAAAGAAGTCTGATTTGCTGTTTAACATAAACCTAAGAGGGGAAAAAACATCACAAGGAACAATTTACTCTGTTCAGATTAAATCTAAATGTTTAACATGTATCAATACTTTCCCCTCAAGCACCATCCTTATGGTGAAACATGGTGGTGGCATTAGCATGCTGGGGGGAAAAGCTTTTCTAACCAGGGTTAAATCCACAGTTCGGTTTGGTAACAGAAACTGGTGAATCCTGGAAGGGAACTTGCTATAGAGTCAGTGACACTTCAGAGAGAAGGAGAAGCCATGTTTCCCATCTCTCCACTCCTACTTCATACACCACTTTCAGCGGTTAAATATGGATTATAGTGAGGTTATAATGTGACAGTTTTAAAAACATTTAGCAAAGTAAATGATTTCTTACCCTTAAACTGGTTTTACCCTGTAAATAAAGCCAGGACTCACCGTAGTTTAGACATAGCCTGACATAGGATACATTAAACTTAAATGCATGGAGATTGATTTTATTTGAATTAATGTCAAAGAATTGGTCTGAATCAGTAAAAAAACATAAATGGATCAAACTTTACATTCGTTTGAATTACTGCACAAAGTTAGCACCAGCAAAAAAACTATTAAACCAGAAAGTGCTCATAAGGGCAACATCGGAAGAGAAGGGTCTTACGTCTAATTTGCTTAAAACGTCCGCCGCCTCCTTGCCTGAACTTTTCGCATTCTTCTTATTCTTTGCGCCTGTAGGAGTAAAAAAACAAATCCACCTTATAACCGCACAGTCATAGCTGTAACACAAATGATGGGTTAAACATACCTTTAGTTCGAGGTTTTTTAACTCGGGGCATCAGTTCTTTTGGAAAAAGGTTCCAGTCTGTAGTACCAGGAAGGATAAATGCATAAGCTTTCTTTTTTATTTAAACTGCTCTAATGGTGTGCGGTATTATTACCCAGATACCTGGAGTCCATCCCTCATGTTCCGACTGGCTCTGCTTTAGGTATCTCTCAGAGTATTTCTCCACATCTGATAAGTGATAGAAAACAGCAACCTTTTTTGTTTATTTAACATAATTACTGATCCTTAGCCACAGCAGTAAGTCAATTTAATTTATGATATTAGGCCGATAATTAAAAATAGTAACCAACATAACTTCCTAGCGATTCATTTGTAATTTCTACATGCAGTGAACCATGTAAGCATTCATAGCGTTTCACTTTTTCCACATTTATTGTTGCAGCACTGGCAGCAATAACAGTCTCATATCCTCTTAAGCATGGAGCCATTTAAATATGGTTCATTTTTCTTTAGGCAGTTTCTGCCATTTCTTTTTGCAGAACATTTCAAGCTCCATCGAGTTGGAAGGAAAATGATATCAGACTTATTTCTTGATCTCTCCAAAGATTTAAATGAGAATTAAGTCATGCCGTGTCCCTTTTACTAATCAGTGGCCTCTATATGGCCCCTCTGCTGTGCAGGCCTCAATGGTGCATTGCTGCAGAGAAGATTGTCCTTCTTCAAGTTTCTGCTCTAGATTCAGTTTGAGTTGCCTTTTAAAGGCTGTGAATACTAATCCACAATTGAATTCATTGTTTTAGATATTTGCTTAATTAATGTTGTGTTATTATCACCTGATAATGTTAAGAAGTGAGGCCCTGGGAATTTATTCAGGATGCTCTGTAGCTTCACGAGCATTTAGAAAAACAACATGACCTGCTCAGCTGCTTACTATGGATATTCTTGCTCTGAACGGTAACTGTGAAATGCTTGTAATGATGGACCAAATAAATAAGGTTAAAATGAGACAGCACCTATAACTCAATAGTACCAGAATTATGGACTTTCCCTTTTCCTTGATATGACTCATATTAAGTATCTAGAGCCTTAAAAGCTGCATTAGCTTCCCTGGCAGCAGCTTAAATGGTATTTCCATAGAAATGATCAGAGACGTCCGGTTTCTAATGGAGCACTCTGCTCCTCACCTGCTTTGTTGGACTGAAGTTTGATGTTGTGAGGCAGCCGCTGCATCGTCCCTCTCATTTCCTGCTTCAGGGCCAGCATGTAGTCTTCATCTTCGCCGACTTTCAGTGGAACTGGTTTAAAGTCAGTGCTCTGGAGACAAAATACATTGGTTTCACTCTAATGAATGACTCTGTCAAATGTTTTAGATGTTAAAGCTCAAATCATTTATCTAGTTGGATTGTTTCAAAAAATTAGAAAAAAGGATGCTAAGGCAGTAAATAAGATGAATAAAAGGACAAATACAACAAATCCAGGAGGGAGAAAAGATGTGTTTGAATGGACAGACGACAAGAGAAAACTCTGTGTAAAATTTAGAAAACATTTAATAACTTCTAAAACACAACCTTAGCAAACTCTGTATTCCGCCATTGTTTTATGGTGTGAAGGTAGAGATGAGTCCTACATCCTAGTTTGTATGAAGTTATGTGGATAGGCATCTTTAAACAGAGCCACCACTGCGGTGATTTCAAACATTCCCTCTCTGGGAGCAAGTTTACATTATTATTATCACCAATATTGGAAGCTTTTTTTATTATTATTACAAGTTTCTAGATCTAAAGACCTATGCAAAGTTCACTCTGTTTGCTCCCCTTTTGTGAGGTGTTACAATAAAATTGTTGCATAACTCTGAATAAATCTACTCAATCAACAGTTGGGTCTTTTTATTTTTTAGCTGTGAGATTATGCTGCTGGAAAAACATTAAAGTGTCGGATGACAATATTTACAAACGAGGACTTTGAACATAATATATGTCATAACTGTCAGGGGGCTTATAAATGCAGGAGCTGATTTAATCCTTTATGGAAGTACTGATTTTTCCAATCCGGTACGTGGGAATAAGCGTATCAGTCCATGTCAAATATGATCCGATGCTACGGTTGAAAGAATTAACCGCATGCCTTGTTTAGAAAGATAATAATTAAAACAGATAGAAATTAGCTAGTGTGTGTGCTCTACATGACAACTTTAAGGTATAATGGAGGATTTTAGCAAATTTTTGAAAAGACCCACCCTCTCCACTTAAAAAAAATAAAATAAAATGCACATGCACTACCTTGTACCTCCTGCCGAAAGGGAACGCCTATTAAACGTGTGCGAGAGCGTGCACGAGCCCATTTCTCCTGCTCTGTTTAAAAGTTGCTGTTTGCATTGCTCATACAAGAGTACTTTCCAAAAGAAGATTTGAAAATGTTCCACTATGTCAGCCTCGCCACCGGTAAGTGAAAATAGGGGAAGAGCAAGTAGGACAGCCTTATGTAAACGTATCACCACAATGATTGACAATTAGGAGGACCACTTATTTCGATGATCCACCCGGAAAGAGAAAATCTTTAACTATACCTTTAATTAGTGTTGTGGCCCAGCTTTGATGACACAAAAAAAGAAGGTTCACAATGGCCACAGATGCACCCTGGACAAATAATTTACGCAGGGAAAAGAAAAAAAAATTATATTTGAAATCCTTCAGTTTTCTTAGTTTATTGCTCCTCAGTCAAACAAACAGAAGAGGACAAACATTTCCTCCTTGCTTCTCTTGTGCTGGGAAAAAAAAAAAAACACCCACCCAGATGCATGCTTGTCCTACCATTAACAGCCTGTTTATAAAAATAATTCACCCAAATTAATCACAACTAACCAGAAACAAAGGAACATAACTAAATAACCAAAAAACATAATCTCATCACAGATATCAAACAATAAAGTAGAATAAACTTAGCTAACAATTGGACTGCTAGCCATGGCTCGGGATTGCATGTGGACCTTGGAAGGCCGTTAAAGTTCCGAGAGCACATTGCAAGGACGTCACCAAGGCCAGATCTGGTATTAACATCTGACTCGACAAATCAAGTCGTGTTACTGGAGCTTACAGTCCTCTGGGAAGACAGGATGGAGGAGCTCACAAAAGGAAGAAGGCAAAATATGTTGAACTGATTGAGGCATGCAAACGCCATGGATGCAGGGCCCGCTGTGAGCCAATAGAAGTGGGCTGCAGAGGCTTGCTAGTCAGACTGCATCGGGCATTCAGGCTCCTTGGCATCAGAGGGTTGCTTGAGAGAAGAGCCACCAGAAACATCAGTGAGGCCGCTGAAGGAGCCTCAAGATGGCTGTGGATCAAGAGGGGAGAAGCATGGAGTAGAGCACTGCTTGAACAAAAAACGGGGCCTGATCAACCCCAGTTGGGTCGCCCAGACGAGAATGTCTGAAGATCAAAGACCCGGAACACCCTATGACCCTGGGTCCTTCACTGATGATGTGTTCAAACTGCACCGGCTAGGTGTTTCAAAATCTATCTAGCTAGATTATCCACAATAATGAAAAACTTTAATTATTAGCAAAAAATAATATGCTCCTACAATTGACATTGCATAAAATTGAAGTCACTAGATGACTGTAGCTGTACTGCTGTGTACAATATCAATAAAAATGGAAAAGATTGGGTTTGTTTGCTGTATGGGTGTCATTGATCTAATATCCGATCAGAGTATTGGAATGCAGACATCCCAAGTCTCCCGGAAGTTCCGGGAGACTCCCTGATATAGATAGTTGTTCACGGATGTCCGCAAGTCGGATAAATAATACCGGATTTTACACTCTGTGAGGCGGTGTTTTGAATGCAAGTGAGAGCGGGCAGGCAATAATTCATGCATCATGTGCAGATAAGAACTACTTTGATTGCGCAGACAACAAGAGAGCGCGGGGTGTGGGGAGGAGGTTGCTCGTGAAACCTGTGCAGTGTGTCTGTCCAAAGAGATTCTCTGTTTAACCAGCTGAATGGGTCAGTCCAATAAGTTTGGGTTACTCTCTGGCAGTCACCTAGTTACCACTCAAAGCTGTGCTTCCTGTCAAACGGCAAAGGTTGAATCCTCGAATAAAAAATGAAAATATTGGACTAATTTTATAGCAGAATATACTAAAGTATATCCACGTCTAGTGAAGGTGAGGAACAGTGGCGGATCTAGACCAAATTCACCAGGGGGCCAGGAGGGGGCCAGCGTGTTTTCATGGGGGCCCAGAAAAGCATGAAATAAAAAACAGGGCAAGGAATTCGAATATATTAAGGGAGCTGCATGAAGGGACATTTCTATTCAATTAGGTTCAGAAGATATTATTTCTTATGAGGTCAATATACATTCACAATTTAGGAATTTTACATATTTTTTACTTAATTTAAGTTAAAACTACTGCTTTCTATACAATTTGAATTAGAACTCAAGAAAAACTGTTAAATCGATCTGTAAAAATTAGAGGATTTTTTTATTTGTTGTGGAAAAAAAAAACATTTTGGAAACTGGAAACTGGGATCCTATCTGAGCACCACTGAAGTTATCACCTTATTGTTTTTGAACAATTAGTAAAACAGAATTTGTAAAGAAAAAGAATGAAGTGGTTCCAAAGGACCTGTCAGTAACCATGTCTGTTCCAGCGCAGATCATCATTAGAATTTCTGGCCCCCATTGGCCCCTGCCTAGAACCGGACATGGTGAGGAATGATGTATGCTGAAGTCCCATGACAAACAGGAAGCACAACCGATAAAAATAACAGAACAATATTGTTCTGTTTTGTGTTTAAGAAATTACTGTTAATTGATAAACAGTTGTTTATTAACTGTTGAGTAGTTTTTGGAACTTGGGATGTCTGGGAATGGTTCATCTTTAGTATAAGCAGTGGTTCATGCACTTTGTTTATTCCTAAATTAAACCTGAGAGGTTTTCCTGGCCTCCCTGTATTTCCCCAGTGGGACTTACTGGATAGAGCGGGCTGGGCCCCACCCTGGCCTCTGGCATGCTTCCTCTGCCGATGCCCAGGGCCTCTATGTTGAATGTAAAGGCAGCCATTCCACGACCCTTGCCTGCCATGGCTGCAGGCTGCTGTCCTGTACCTGCAACACATGCTACCAGTCAACTTCTCTCCCAAACACGTGTTCACACAACTCAGTGATTTCACCATCGGTGCAGCATTAGTCAGCATAAAACATCAGAGGAAGGCGTTCGGTTTTTATACTTACTATTGGAGAACTCCTTTTGTATAGATTTACAAACTAGATGTCTGTGTCACCGACAGACAGCAGCATTTATGTGCTGCTGAGTCTCCTCCACGTTTTCAGTCCAGTTTAATTTATTTTTATAATTAAATTAATATTGAAAAACTAATGAAAGAAATGTCAATTCTTAATAAAATAGATATGACTTTTCTTGTACCGGCGTGGCAACGTGTGTACAATGTGCAAACTACAGAAAAAATATGAAACACCGACGTGTCGGTGTCGAGCCGTCCCGTTCAGCTGACTCTTTAATTCGAACGATATGATGCGTCTTGCTTTATTGTGTACTTGATTCAGAGAGGGTCAATTGTACGATAGACTCCACTCCATTAATCTCATGAAGCGAGTTCAGGCTTCAGGTTAATCTGTTGTGCTACTGCTAGGTTGGAAAGAAAACCAGCAGCCATACAGTCCTGGTCCTTTCTGGAACCTGCTTGACACCAGTGATCCAGACTCTTACTTCACAGTCAAAACTAAAAAGCTGTTATTTTATATTGTTTTTTAACAAATTTGTTCTTCGTTTATCCATTTTCCTCAAGTAGTAACAATAAAAGGTATGAAGTTATGAGTCTTTTAATAAACAGTATGTGTTATATTTTTTATATTTTATATTTCAGTCTCTAAGGAGATGTAGTTTATAAGAATATAAATTGGGAAAATGCAATATGAAGAGGTTTAATATAACATTAGAGACGGAATTTAGTGAACAGTAGTATTAGAACTACACAAATTCAGCGCCTTATGATTAGGATCACTGAAAAGAGTCGGAATTCCCATCACTATGGCAGCGTGCGTAAATGTCGCTTTAAATGTGGGACTCAATGTAAGGCGGGGTTTAAATGCATCCAATCATCATCCAGATAGAGCACTGCGTCATTTGTATATCTGACCAATGGGGAAGCTCTTTTCGTACAAGGGTGTGTCAGCCGTAGTGTCAGCAGCTACCGTCACATTTGGCTAAATGAAAACATATCAGCTCCAACTACAAGGCTGCTAACAGCTCACCGCTAAAATCCCCTGACAGCACAAGACCCGCAGACGCTAACCTGGAAAACTGCATGACTGGGGATGTCTGCAGCCGACTGGTACGCCCACAAGTCGCTCGGAGACGGGCTCTTCTGGATTCAGGAGCGATTCTACCAGTCGGATAATCGGGCCAACATCTGGCTCCTCCGCGGTACCCACCAGGACGTGGTCATAGACACGGGTCTGGGCTTGAGGAGCCTACCTGACTACATCGATGCCAACGGGCTGCTCGGGAAAGACCCGCAGAGGAAGAACCCGCTTCTGGCGGTCGCCACCCACGCCCACTTCGACCACTCGGGTGGTCTGCATCAGTTCCAACAGGTGGGCGTCCACAGCGCGGAGGTCGATGCCCTGGCTAACGGGGACAACTTCGAGACGGTCACCTGGCTTAGCGACAGGGAGATAACCGTGGCTCCCAGTCCGGGATGGAGGGCGAGACACTACAAAGTCAAGGCTGTGCAGCCCACGCATATCCTGCAGGAGGGTGGGTAGGGGATGCTAATCCTCACGATGGGGGGGTGGGGGTGGTGCATAGGCCTATCTGAGACCAAACACCTGGGATGCTGCATGCAGGGAGCATGGGCTCCAAGCCTACTGAGTCAGCGTGAGACTGGCAGAGATCCAACACTGGACTGACACATTTATCCATATGCACACCTGCAAAATACCTGTATAGACATAAACTACCGCTCCAAATGTGCATTTATAACAAGCTTTTTTAAAGAATTGGATTATTAAGTAAATAGAGTAATGTGTTAATCTGATTTATCTAAACTCCTTGTTTTAAAATATGTGATCATTAATAGACCAGTCTTTGTTCAATCAGACCTAGGAGCCTCCCAGGCAGATAAATAAAGGGAATTCAATTTTAATTTCTAGCTGCCACTTTTATCTATACACCTGTTCTATTTATAGCTCAGGTGCTGATGGTTTTGATGGTGCTTTCAAGAAAAGATGCAGAAACTGGCTCCCCTTCCTTGATTCTGGTATTCTGGTCCACCTTGTTGCAGCATCTCTCAGTTAGGATCTAAGGTGTAGATGTCAAACATATGCACGTGTTAAACATAATAAATCTCTGTCATGTTCTGCACAAACAGGCATACTGTTACACCCCTAGACTTGTTCAGTATCATTGCCTTTGGGGTTCCCTATTAATAGCTTCTTGAAGGTTACCTGTCATAGCTTGGGTATAACATTTCATTCCTGGTGTTCTTTCATTGTGTATTTTATGGTGTATTAATGCTGTGTCAGCACCACTTGGTGCAGTGCAGTTGGTATATCTTATTGCATGGCATGCCAGCCTCACCCTTTGTCATTCTGTGCAATTCATACCTGGTTTGGGTAAAATTAGAAGCCAAACAGAAAGCTCTAGACTCTGCGCAGGATAAGAGCTATTTTGCACAGAGCTTCTAGTTTCAGGTCCAGTTTTTTGTGTCATTAACTCAAGCATCTCCCTCCCCTTTCTCCTGTCCAGGTGATGTCATTAACCTTGGTAACAGACAGCTGACTGTGCTTCACATGCCGGGTCACTCACGGGGCAGCATCTGCCTCCACGATCGCGACAATAAGCTGCTGTTCAGCGGAGACGCTGTGTATGATGGCGCCATGATTGACTGGCTGCCCTACAGTCAGGTCAGCGACTACATCAGCAGCTGTGAGCGTCTCATCGGGTTGGTGGACAGCGAGCAGGTAACACTGAAACTTTTTTGTAAACATGTACATTTGGGGGGGTTGACTGCTTCTTTAACTTTTAATTCAGATTATTTGGGCCATTTATTGGGTATAGTTTAAATTTTTTAACATCCCACAGGTTGACCAAGTCCTCCCAGGACACTACAACACTTTTGGAGCCAAACGGCTCCATCGGATCGCGTCCACGTACATCAGCAGAGCCGACACGTGTCCTGCGAAGTTCTCCACGTTTGCCTGGAGAACTCTGGCTGGGCTGGCTTTGCGGGCATCCAACCCTCGCTGTGCCTGCTAATACGAGCGGATCCCCGAAGCAGGAGGAAGCACAAGTTCACAAAGAAATATGCTTCATTATGGACCTACAAATATTTAAGAGGAAAAAAAAATCAACAGAACCTATAATTGCCAAACTCATTATAAACTGTCTCACTTGAGTCAAGAAGTAAAAGTATTACACAGTTTACTATTTAATGTATTGATGTATATGTGAATGTCAGTGTTGGTATGATTTTAAATGTTTTTTAATATTTTATGCGGATGTAAACTTATTATGGCACAATAATAGTACAACAGTGCACTACAATCAGACAACAGGGAGTTTTGGGTTCTTGTCTGCGGCATTTCAGTCAGCATGGCCATACTTTTCTCTATGCAGTCCGCAGTGAAGACCCAGCAGTGACTACCTCCTACGTTTGTAATCGTGCTTGGTACTCTTGATTATTAATCTATGGCTTTGCTAGGAAATCCCTGACAATAAAGTCTTCGCTCGGCCTGACATTTTCCTATTCTTCTATCGCAGCTTGTGAATGGAAGCACATCTTCTTGTTGTTTATAGAAGCACACATCTCCTGTAGAAATTAATGCAAGGAAGAGAAATGAAAGCAAACGGAGAGCATAGATTGATGAAGTACTGAAAGCACTAATTCTCTCAGTGGAAAGTTTTTATACTTCCAGAAAATATATAAGGAAGATTAATATGACTACAGAGACATTTTTACTGCTTACTTTTAAAGATTGTACTAACTTAAGATACTCGGATGCATAAACCTTTTTGTTCACAACACATTTCTCATATTACTGCCTCAAAGGTGAGTATTTTGTTGCAATTTTATATGCTAGATCAGCAACCTTTTAAATCTAAAGAGCAGTTTTACCCTGAGCTCAGCTAAATTTAAGTAATTTAGAGCAGAAATATTACATTAACTAGTCATGACTTATTTTTGTTGAATATCTGCTATAAGAACTCACAATTTTTTTAGCTTTAAATCCTTTAACACCAAGTTTATTAAATAGATTTTCAGAGCTCTATATCATTAGGGTGATATTTATGTTCTTAAATAATTCATGCAATTATTTGTCATACATTGTATAGAAATGTCTGTTTCAAATGACAGATTTTATGTATATATTTTTCAAAATGTTTAATGCCAGCTCTAGTAAAAAAAAAAAAAAACATTTATCAGTCATTTCAAAATGTAGGAACATTTAAAAAATGAAGATTTCTTAAAAAGAAAGTAGGATTTTCTTTTATACAATATAGAGAAATATAGTTTCCAAACTGAAAAGTAATATAGATCTAAAATTTTATTTTTTTATTGTCATTCTCTAAAGAAAATCAAATCCAAATGTTCTTTTAAAACCTGCTAAAGCTTCAGAAAATGGTATTTATTAATACATAATAAAACCATTGGTTGGTTTTTTTATCATTTCCAGTGATCATTAAGAGCCTTTGCAGAGGCTCCAAAGAGCCAGTTGTGGGTCTGCAGCTGCAGACCCCTGTGCTAGATCCAAATAGCATGATAAAAAAGTTTTAAAAAAGACATTTATTGTAAAATCAGCTGCAAGGACTTTGGTGCATGTCTTTTCCAACTTTGCACATATTGAGACACTTTCTTCATTCTTTTCAAAGTAAGTAAAGGTTAGATTGGTTAGAGAAAAAAAAAGAAAAAAAAACGATTTAGTTATGGCTGCTGAACTATTCCTAACTCAAAAGGCTTTGATCTGAGTAATCTGTGTTAATGTTACTGTGTGGGAAGGTCAGGGTGCATGCACATTTTTCATGTTAATTTGTCTTTCCCACAATCCATTTCCAGTCCCTTTTTTGACTAATTGATGTAAATGAATGGATGAGTGGAAAGCTGTGGGGGATAAATGAATGGACTGTCAAACAGATAAAACTCAAGATGGAAAGCTTGATGAATAACATTGCTGTTTTCTTTTTATTTATAGAGATCTGTAAAATATTAATAAATTCCACGTTTCCTGACTGCATGGTAACACTGAGAAATAAGTATTTTCCAGCGTTTAACACGTTTTCTTGTTAGATTTTTCTGTATTTATTATTTTGCCTTCAACCAGGTTCCTTCACTGCAGCCTCTATCATGATGCTGCATCTGTGTAAAAAAAGGATAAATATAGATGCTATATGTTCAGGTTTATTGTCCAGCAGAAAGGTGAAACTGCCTCATTCCCAAGTCTTAAAGTCCCCATTTCTCTCCATCCATCTTTCAATCAATGCCGACCAGTTCTCTTGTCAATGCTCAAGAAAAGCACCCCCACAGCATGATGCTGCCACTACCATGTTTATGCATTAATGAATGACAAAAAACAGATGAGAAAAGCTAAGGGATGGTTTAAAACTATAAACATTTATTTTAATTAATGTTATATTATTTAAACATGACACTTCCACTCTTATTATATATCCAACCTTTTCAAAGATAATGTGCACGCAGTACACAGAACTGAAAAAACAAAACAAAACTAACAGTGTTATTCACTATTAACAAAGATTTGCACATTATCTGTTAACCTTCTGAAAATCACATATCTGTATAGCGGCATTTACAGAATCAGTTATGTAACAAAATAATAGACTGAGTTTATCTTGTTAACTTAAAAAAATAATAATTTACAGTAACAAATGCTTGTTTGAATGATCTCAGTGAATATGGTTGATTTGACACGGGTTGAAACCACTTTCCTAAACCAACAGTCACAACTGATGGCAACTGGAGATAATATGAAATATCTGCCGTTCTGAGCAGATTTAAACAAAAACCTCTCCTAAAATGAACCCAATGAATAAATAAACATCTTAATGTACATGCTCTATAGTATCATGCCATGGCTTATTATGGCTTTGAACCACAGGCTCAAAGGGAGGGATCACTACACTGAAAGCACACGACACTGTCAGTGCATTAGGCCTATCGGTTATGGCTTGTGTTTTAATTAATACTTTACTTTAACTGATACCATGAGGTTCTGATGCCCCCCCTCCAGTGTTGTGCTGATTAAACTGTTTGAATAGGTCATGTCCAGAGGAGTCTTTAATCCAAAAAAACATCACATCTCACCCAGTACAATAAATATGTGTTAATTGTGCTAAACTTACCCCAGAATCACTTAAGTATAACCAGAGATGGTTTAACATCTAACTGGTTAACAAAATGCTGCATAGCATAAAAACAAGCATTAACCTCTCTTAACCCATTTAACAGAATCACCGTATAATATCAATTGGCACAAGCCTGGTATGTGGTTTGAAATCTTACATCCCTGTAGTCCATGATGATGATCCGGCACTTTTCATGCTAAACCTGAAGTAAGTCTTCTATTTAGCTTTATCCATCTTCAAATCAAGTCCAACTTCTCTGTCCCCACACCATGATGCTGCCACCACCGTGTTTCACCATGTGTATCAGTTATAAATGGATAAATACATGAAGTGCCCCTTTGCCCCATCTCCACAGTATAAATGCTTTATAATTTTATAACACCATTAATTACATTCAGTTAAAACACGAATGGCGAGATGCACTTGAAATGATATTTCAGTGGATGGAAAGGGCGATGGAAGGGGAGAAATACTTTCCAGTTTCAAAAAATCACATTAAAGAGTTAAGAAGTTGAACAGCGTGGAACTTAGTTAACCAAACCTTTAGCTTTTATCTACTTTCTCTAAAGCAGCATCATGACTTCTAAAGGAAACACAGCATCTCCCATCCTATGAGCTGTGGGAACCCTGGACTTCCTGCACTGATTGTCACCTTCCTCTGGGTAAAATTTTTTTCGACCCACGCAGGTCTTCTCCCAGCTATCCCTTCCTGTAAAAGGCAGCTGTGCACATCCTTGAGTTTAGTTCAATTGTTAAACCTGTTAATTCACAGTTTGATGAACTGTTTTTTTTTTAAGCAAACAAAAACATCTATCCAGACACAAGTTCACACCTGACTCTGTAGCCAGTTACGAGGATCAAGCCGGGCTCGTAGGTTTCGCAGGCTGCGGCGAGCAGGAGAGGGCCTGGAGAAAGGCCCCCCCTCTGATGATTCAGGGCTGTGGCTGCCTTCGCTGTTGCTGGAGCTGTTGCTGGAAGTGGAGCTGGAGCAGGAGAGTGTTGTCTGTGTGCTGCGCTGCGACAGAGGCGAGCGAGACGAGGCGGGGAGAGGAGTGAGCAGCGACGAGGACGGAGGCTGGCAGGAGCACTGGAAGGTCCCCCCGCCTCCATACCCCCGGCCTCGGAGAGTGCTGAGCTTAGCGTCTAATGAGAGTGTGCGCGGCCTCAGACGGGATGGTGAGGAGGACAAAAGCGAGAAATTGGAGGGAGGCTCAGGCCAGCCGTGGCGGTGAGAGCACGGACTGGTGCTGCAGTGGCTGTCAGTGTCCGACGTCAGACTTGCGTCAGAGGAGAGCAGGCCCAGCTGCGGGCAGCGGTGAGGGCTGACTGGACTCCTGGAAGGGAGACGATGAGGGGAGTGAGGGCTGTGGCCAGACAGGCGTGAGCTGCATGGACGGACAGGGAAGCCGGTGCTTTTTGGACAGTTTTCCTCAAACACAGGCATCCAGGTGGGAGACATGCCCAGCTGGCTTCGGAGCTCCAGCTCTTGCATCCTCCGGGCCAAAATGTCAGACACGGTGCTGCCCAGGTCATCTGATGATTCAATAACTGCAGAATGGAAGGAACATTTATTGAGATGGTAGAAGGTAAATTTTACACGTTTTCACTCTAGTTCAAAATCCTACATCACTATGCTGCCACCACCTTGCAACACTGAGGGGACTGAGTTTTTAGGCGGATGCAGAGTCTGATGGTTTAACCTACTCTACTAAATCTATCCCTGCTTGTTTACTGAGGGCTTCAGCATCCATATTATTCACCATCTTTTCTTTTTTATTCCCCCATCTATTTGTCCCTAATGAGCAACATATTAATGTACAGTGATCCAAGTTTCTAAAGCTTATTTTTCAGTTTTTAGTTGAAAATATCTGATTCTAGTAGATAAGCTACATTTATGAGCTTCAATTACATTCTGATGGACTATTTTCCATCGGAACATATTAAATGTAAAGAAAAACAAGGGGAAAAAAAATGTATTAACATATTCGATTGATGTTGTTAACAGTGCATAGGAACATATCGATACAGGCCATGTCGATGTCGGGTCATTTTCAACCAATATGTTAACTTCAGTTAAAAGCAGTTTAAGAAACTGGTCCAAAAGTGTAAAGACTTTATTTTTGTTTGTTTTACAGAACAAAGAGAATTTTTTGGATTTTATTTTTAATAATGTAACGTCATGGAGAACATTTTAATCCTTCTATAAAGTTGTGTAGAAATACTGCACTTTGTGCTCTATTAATATTTTTCTCCATATTGCATCTATAGAGCAAATAATGTAATCTTATATATTATTCTAGTAGGAAATAAGTAAGTAAAGTGGAGTGAAAGACTTGATCAGTCAGAACATTTGGTCGATTCCAGGTCTCATTGTAGCCTTTTGAAAACTCCAATACATTTAAAGCAAATCCCTACAGCTGCTACTTCACCTGTCATTGTAATAGGACGAGAGCAGAGCGCGAATCTCAGCAGACACAGCGTTATCCTGCAGCAGAAGACCCTCACCCGAGGGCGTGGAAAGAGAGGCTGCCAGGAGGTTAGGAAAACCATGAGCAGGGTGGGTAAGACAGAAGGAGCGGAGAGGAGAAGTGTGACAGATGAAATTCAAGTTTTAAAAAGTGGGAGGACAGTTTGGATAAAAAAAAATAGAAAAATAAACAAGGGGTAATTTAAAGCTCAGACAAGAGAGGAAAAACAAAATAAATTGAATTGAGATGTGATGATTAAATGAAAATGTACAATTTAATTTGATGGAAAAGGGATGGATTAAAACAAAATTGAAAAAAGAAAAGAATAGTATAAATCAGCAGATCAGAGAAGACGGGGAATGGAGGAACAAACAGAAGACAGAGAGTGAGTCAGAACATCAGAGATACGAGCTCCTCAATCTACAGAACAGAGAAGTAAAGCAAAGAGTAAGTTGGAGCTACTGCAGTTAGAGATAATGGCCGTGTGTTTCATGCACATCCACCCAGCAGAGTAAGAATACAAACAGCCACATGCAGTGCAGGTAAAGTAAGCTCCCTTTTCTCCCTGTTTCATTTTGTTTTTCTGAAATCAGTTTCAAATTGAAATGCACAAGACATGTAAAAGACATACCCATTTCATGATAAAGTGAGCCCTGTTTTGGAGTAACTGGAGCTGGTTTCCTTGGAGAGGGAAGTTCGATTTTCATTAAATCATCACAGCACTGCTTCCATTGGCCTGTTTAGAGGGAAAAAACGCAAAAACAAACAAAAAGACAAGAGGGAATTTAAAAACACTTCCTTCGATGCCCTTCAGATGATCTCTGGCGAAGTAAAACATTTACTAACTCATATCATAGAAGTGCTGCCAGAAGGCTTCCATCCAGCGGTGCGTGTCCTCTCGGCTCTCCGTGTTCAGAGTGTGCGTGACCTCCTCCCCTCCGTATCGGTTGCTGATGCAAATGTTCTGACCCTTGCTGTGAGGGTCCCTCTCTGATGCGCGTATTCTGGTCTCCTGAAACCAAAGAGCTCTTGAATCAGTCCAGCACTAAATGCCCCCAGTTGGGAATAAAACACCAGTGCTTCTGCTCTGATTAAACCAAATTACTCATTGCAGCAGCTGTTCATTACAGCAGTTGTAAATCTAAGTCTCCCACTGAAATCAAGCCCTCATTAATAAAGCTAGCAATTAGTCCCTTCAGTAATTATCAAACAAAAAGGGCAATTCCCAATTCCCACTCCCTTAGTCTGCAGAGTGTGCGCTTCTGACCACTAGATGGCGGTGATGTTCCATTTATCCATCTGAATAATGGATTTTTTTTTCTCTACAAGAGAGAGAAGCTTCTGCAGCCTTGCACTGACCTTGCTTTGGGGAAGGTATATTCTAAACGCCACACAGTAAAGATCTCAATGAGCTACAGCAGTGAGATTTTTTTAGAGCCTCAAAGTCATTAAGGTTTGGATCCAGAACAAAAATATCTAATGACTGCTGCTTTGATCCTGACAAAGTATTATTAACCATATTTGATGAAGGTGATGCATCCTTTGGATAAGCAGGTAAAAAATGAAATGATGATGAGAATTTAATGGTTTATGAAACAGACTGAGCACAAACTGCTCTGGAAATTTTATCCTGGGATTTTTTTAAACTAGAAATCCTCTGGGATCAGCATTAGCATCAGCCACCAGGTCAAACTAATTTAATCTATGAAAGGTTATATAATTAACTTAAACTCTAAAGTATCCTTTTATGCTCTTTAAAGTAACAACTCGGATACTGGGAAACAGCCATGTTTTTTTATACAAGTTACCACGGAAGCATCTATGTTCTTATTTATCTTTAGGAAAACAACTCTACAGGCTGTGTTGGGATTTACTTGGCAGCTCTTCAAAACCTTTAGCAACATTTCTGCCTTTGCTTTAGGCGTTGCAAAAAAAAAAAAAAATGATGCAATGGGTTCAGTAAGGTAGAATACTGAACGTTTTCCCTCTTTATATATTTTTTCCTAGTCTCCCTTTTGCTCACCTTGTTGATGCCGATTGTCAAAGCAGGCTCAACATTGGCCTCCACATCCTCCTGTTGTTGGTAGCAAAAAAGGCTTGTTGCTTTTAGAACGGCGTACACTTTTGTCCAAGTCTGAGGGTCACCTCCACACTGCTGTAAGAAAAACACAAAGAAGGGGAACAATATGAGCAAGAGAGAAACAGAAAGCAGGCATGCAAGCGAAAACCTTCAAAGACCTTAAATTAAATCAAACACCAGCTATCTAAACTTGCCTTAACTTTCAGCCATCCACCCATCATCTGTTGGGTCATACAGTTTGGCTGAGCTGCGAGGCGGCAACACATGCTGCCATATAGAGGCAGCCAGTATGAGCATTCCTCTGCAGGATAAAAGCATAAGAGAATTAAAACTAATCACAATTTTCCCAAACACTGCATTCAACATTAAAACAAAAACATCTCCCATCATTTGCTTGTAGAGAAACTCTCTCTCCGAGCCCGGCCTTGCATTCGCTCACAGAATGAGACACTTGGGTGTAGAAGACAGGCAGCTGCAGAGGCTTCACATGAAATGCACTCATGAAATTTTACAACAAGCTGAGGGGCCAATAAATAAAATACAAGAGCCAGTCTGTCACTGGGTCTGGGCCCTTGTTAGCCTACATCATTACAGGTTTACACAGCAGTAACCCCCCTACCCCCCAAAAAAACCCCAACAGAACCTTTATTTATGGCAACCTTGAAGATCGCTGTATGTCAGAAAACAAGTTGGAGTAGCGATTGTAGAAGACTGATGGGTGTTTACAGGAAATGATGAGATTGAACAGAAGAAGAGCGACGCAGAGAAGTGAGGGAAGGAAAAGAGCAGACAGATGGCCCATCTGGAAAATGGAGCAGAGAGCTGGCGAGGGCGCAGAACGATGGAGGCTGCCACTCACCGTTGCCTGAAATAGTGAGGTCATGCGTGCGAAAGCTGTCCTGGACGTGCGACAGTGACAGGGTGGTGTGAGCTAAGAGGTGGTACTTCGGGCCGCTGTCAATACACAACGTAAAAAGAGGGACAAGCTGTGTTTTAATGTAATAAATAGCAAAACACAGGAATTAAATCATAGTGGAAGATAATCCAAACTCACGGCACAGAGGGGACAGGCAGCAGGAGAGGAGCTGCCCCTCCGTTACTAACAGGACTACATGCTCCAGGCTCCATTGCAGCTCTGAACTTCTTTCCTGCTGAGCGGCCCAGCGAAGAGCTCAGCTTGCTGGCCAGTTTCCTGGGCGTGCTTCCTGCAGAGTAGTCATCCTCTGAGCAGCAGCTATACAGCTCAACTCGGAGCTCAAAGCCAGGGCTAGCTTCATTACTGCAGAAAGATTACAAGCTTACAGACTGTGGGACACCGTCTATGGCAGTGAAGGAAATAATATAAATACAGCGGTTTTCAGTGTAACAGCAGTGTCTTGAGAATCCTTAATCCTTTGCACCTCTTGTATTTATAATCACAACCTTCATTCAATACTTAAAGGTTTCATGCCTTACCAGAGCAAAAAAGTGCATAAGTAAACAGAAAATTCAGATTTTTAAAATATATAACAAATAAATGATTAAATTGTACACAGCTTTATAAATTTGTAGAAAGAAACCCAAATTAGAGGAATGCCACTGAACCACACTTTCATAACCCTACATATAAATTTTCTTTTTAAAGCAAAGAAATTAGAGACGCTTTAATATTCAGTCACCAATGTGCTTTGTCTTTTGTGTTTCTGTGAAAGTACTAAATAGGACATTATATTTGTACATGCCAATAAGCATCCCAGCATTTCAGCCCCCAAACAAGATCCTGATAGAGAGGCGTGAACATAAAACGGACTTACAAGACAATGGTGTTGTCGAAGCAGATATCCGTGAGGGTCCGGTCTACAATAACCATGTCTGTGTCAAAGATCTCCCCTCCCAGCTGCAGCAGGCAGAACACAGCACATCGATGAAGCTCTATGCGACGGGACAGGAAAGGAGAAAAAGTAAGAAAACTTTATTACACATACAAAACTTTTCTTTCACTGCATGCACCGCTTTAAATTCACTTCATCTTAAGCATCCTGTAAGAGAAGTGTTGCAGGAAGGTGTTGAAGCCACATGTTTTCTGTAAATAGGCCACTTAACCTGAACAGGTGAAGCGTGAAAGAGAACCTGATGTTACAAGAGGTCTAACAAACTCCTCTGCTGTTGTTGGTCTCAGGTCAGTAATCAGCCCTGCTAACAGTTAAACAGGACCACTAACCACCATGTTATTAAACCTTAAGTAGAACCGTTATTATCCCCCTGTGGGTAACAACAGCACCTGCAACACACCCCATTAACCTTTTTGTATTTTGTTACTTTATAACCACACACTTTATTCTATTTAATGTTAATTCCATGTAATGGACTGACACACATTGGTGCGTAATGACCATGTAACTTAAGTGGAAGTAAAACAGTCATGACTTTTAGATGGTTTTAGAAAATAAAATCTGAAAAGTGAGCTTGCCTTTATTTCTATTTTTATCCCAGAATCAACACTCTATAAAGCCACTTCTCTCTGTAATTACAGCTGAAGGTTTTTTCAGGCACCTCCACCAGTTTCCCAAGTTTAGAGCCTATTTCGCCCCATTCATCTCTATAAAAACAGCTTTGGACCTCCATCTCAAACTGAGGTCATTTTTAGCTCCAAAAAGGTTTTCTTCCAGAATTGTACTCTATTTGAGTGATTGTGTGTGTTATTTGACTTACCTGTATTTGAATCAAAATGGTCAGATCGAGTGTGAACAAAGTAACTTTCTTTTCTTTCCACATATTTTCAACATTCCTTAGCTTGTGACAAACTGTACTTCTTGCACATTTTTACCCCAAAAATTTGCTCTGATCTTGCTGCTTTATCATAAAGATCACATTTATGGACTGCAGAACTCATAGCCTTCTCTCTCCCTGATTTATGGATCTCTGTAGCTGTAAAATTAAATATTTTTTTTTATTTTAGAATATATTAAAGGCTTCTGCAGCTCCCTGTTAAAGCCACCATGTTTTATATAAGAAAACTGCTATTCACAAGCGCTCTCAATCCAACTTAAAGGCGCTCCAGCTGTTTTGCAAGAAAGAATGGGCAAAAATTTCAGTCTCTCGATGTTAAAAGCTGATAGACAAACCCCAAGCGACTTGGAGCTGTAATCGCAGCAAAAGGTGGCGCTACGTATTACTTTTATGGAGCTAAATATTTTTGCACAACCAATTTTTCTGTGTTTCATTTGTTAAAAAGTTTAAAATCCATCCATCCATCCATCTTCCTCCGCTTATCCGGGGTCGGATCGCAGGGGCAGCAGCCTAAGAAGGGAGGCCCAGACTTCCCTCTCCCCAGCCACTTCTTCTAGCTCCTCAGGAGGAACCCCAAGGCATTCCCAGGCCAGCCGAGAAACATAGTCTCTCCAGCGTGTCCTGGGTCTTCCCCGGGGCCTCCTCCCAGTGGGACGTGCCCGGAACACCTCACCAGGGAGGCGTCCAGGAGGCATCCTAACCAGATGCCCGAGCCACCTCAACTGGCTCCTCTCGACGTGGAGGAGCAGCGGCTCTACTCTGAGTCCCTCCCGGACGACCGAGCTTCTCACCCTATCTCTAAGGGAAAAGTTTAAAATATCAAATAAATTTAGTTCCACTACATGACTGTGCCCCAGCCTGAAATTTCTCAAAAGATGGCAGAATACTTGTGTGTGTGTGTATATATATATATATATATACATATACACCGTATATGTATGTGTTAAAACTAAAAAGGAATGGGGGCTGCATGTTTAGAGGTTAATGCTACAAGTTGAAGGCCATGGTCCTTTGGATCTGCCACCTCAGCTGCCTAATCTAAAAGCAAACACGGAGAGATTACTGGGCGTTGTAAACTGAACCAGAACCTTATAATACTGGGTTTGGTGTTTTATACGTTTTGTGAACAGGGGGGTAAAGGGGGGCTCTAATTGATGCTCTCCTCTTTCAGTCTTTTCTCTTCTTTCCCGGCCTGTTGTTTAGGTAGATAGCTATGTTACGATATGTTTAGATTAGTGTAGTGCAATATAGTCCAACAGTTTTAGGGCGATTGATTGAACTCTGCTTAACCAAACAATGTTGAAAGCTCTACTATGCTTTAAACATTTTCTCTGGTCTCTCTGCTGTGTTTCTTTATCTTCATGAAACTGTTTATCACTCTTCTCTAACAAACCTTAAAGACCTTCACATAACAGCTGTATTCATATCGAGAATAAATCACCTACAAAGTCTCTCTTTACTGACAAGGTGACCCCTGAAGGCAGATGGTTTTAGTTTAGAGGATCAGCTTGAAGGGGACTGAATGCTACACCACTGATATATATTCTTCAAGAGCAATTACAAAACTGTCATATGCTGAGAACACATTCCTTTGCTCAAGTTCATTTGCATGCACAGGTCATTCACATTAATTAATTTTAAGCGGTCATGGGACCAACTGAGCACTAAAAATATTATAATGACTGCACAGGAGTTAACCCAAATTAGCTTTATCCATTTTGTGAGACAGAAAATAGGCAATTTAACTATTACATTCATTAGATTTGCTGTGCACCACTGAACTCTAAATGAAAGTTAAATGTTTCTGATGATGACCTGGATGATGAGGGGACAACATTCAGGATCAGCTCCTGAAAACCGCAGCAGATTCTGCTTGTTTTCTGTTTCTGTGTTGTCTGCTCTGCTAATAGAGACCGTGTGCAGTTGGTGCACGTTTATGCTTCACGGAGCCAAAAGTCAAAGCCAGCAGGTCTGAGCTGTTGGCTCACAGAGGTCTTTGCTAAAGCTGCAACAGATTGTAAAGATCAGCTCCAGGAACTAACATAGACAAAAAAAAAAGAAAAGAAATTCCAGTCTTCATGGTTTGTCTGTAGTCTTTGGTAAAAATCCAAACAGAAAAAAAAAAATGTATTTATTGTTCTTAACTTATAACAAATTGTACAAAGAATCTACCTACAGATACGTTCTACCAAATATTTATCCTCAATAAATCCTATGGGTATAAGGCTTTGATGAGCCACCAAAAAAACAAATTCCTTCACACATGCAGACTGAGGTTCCTCACCTCCTTTGTTCTTAAAGTACTCCGTGTCTTTCCACATAAGAGGGATGCGAAGATCTGAAATGAAAGCAGACAATGGATTAGAGCACAAAACATTTTAATCACCTCCCTTGTCCAGCTGTTAGAGTGTCTGTGCAGCTTTCAGTCACTGGCAAAGCTATAGACACAAAATTAGATTTGCAGTTTTGTCTCCAGCTGCATAACAGACATGCAGCAGAGCTCAACCCACAGAAACCACAGATCCTTCTACTTTAACAGTTCATGCAACGGTGCTACCTTCTTGACCTTTGTGAGGGTGGAACCAAACAGTGACTGTTAAGTGTTGCTCTTATTATTTTACCGTTGAATCTAAAACTGGAAGTGAATATTATTTATCATTTCATTTACATGCCTGAGATTGCCACTTTTCCTTTACAGGGGAGTCTTTCGTCCATTGGGCCTGCATCTGAAGCTCTGCGTGGGACGTTCTGCATGACCTGAGCTTCCTTCATCCTCTGCAGCTCCGACATGTAGGCCATGATCCGAGTGCTGCATGTCTGCAGACTCTTAGCCGCCTCCAAGGCCTGATCTCGCTGCGAGCAAGCAGCCAGCAGCTTGCAGGCTCCATCTCGCATCCGGATCTCATGGTCGATCTTCTTCTGAATGTCGCTGTCCTGCAAAGAGCAAAAGAGAAAGTAGAAAAGAAAAATTATAAGAAAATGGCAATCTCGTAGAAATACTTCAGTGAGATGTGCTTTCAAACAAATTCTGAAGATATAAGGTTCATGTGGATGAGAGGAATGTTATTTGCAGCTCTTAACCAAACTACCTTAACTAGCCAGTTTCTGTTAACAAGGGATGAATTATGTTGTAAACCTGATATAAACCTGAGTGTTCTAACTCTGAAAATATATTGTTTCCTTAAGGGCTGGTTATCCTCCTGCAGCAGTGTGTCGCAGTGAGGTTGTCGCAGGTATGACGCAGATATGATGCCCAATATTGAAGCGTGGTCTGTGCTATGTTATTCCACGCCACAACCCAAGAGGGACAATCATGTAGTAGCAAAGATTGTGGGTTTGTTGTTTCTCTCAGAGGTCATTCAATAACAATGGCGACTGGACCAATGCGCACTTTGACAGACGCAGCTGATTAATCTAGGAATAGAAGAAATATGGCTGGCAGAGAGTACAGATGTGCGTACTTCCTCACTTCTTCACAGACTCGGTCTTCTAGCTGGCCCATCCTTAGGAGTCGTTTTCACAATGGAAGTCATATAAACAAAACAAGCCGGTAAGGTACCAAACAGGAAATATGCATATTGTAAAGCGGATGTAGAATTGACCAATAAGAGGCCAACTTTCTCTCCCCGCTGTGATGCTTTGTGCGGCACTGTCACCGACAATTTTGGGGAGGTGCACCAGAGTGTCTGCGAAGGGGGGGGGCATATCTGCATTAACTGCGACACACATGCAGATGACTTGGTTTCAGAGTATAAACCAGGCTTTAGAGAGAAAAAAAATTATTAAAGGAATTCCGTTGCAACAAACTGCTGTGCATGACCAAGACAGAATATACACTCAAACCATGGTAAGGACTCCTTTAAGTGTTATTACATAAACCACAGCAGAAATCATAGAGGGCACACAGAGTATGGCACTGCTGAAGTATTAAAGAATCCCATAGCTGCTTTAATAGTGACCTTCAGCTTACTGTATATGCATAACTGAGTGTGGCTGTGCAAATTCTCTGGGTCATGGCAACCACTAATCTGGATCTGGTGTCTCAGCTTCTTGACAATAGATTTCCAAAGATGTTAGTCCCCTACTGCCTATGCAAATTTTTAAACTTAAGTTTTTTCTTCTACTCACCTTATGAACATGGAAACAGAAATATTTCCCTTCACTGTGTCGCTCACATTTACTTTATCAAAATCCATTCCATTCCATTGATCTGCAGTAATATTCTACATTCTCGAACCTGGATTTTATGTTTCCTTTTTTCCGGTAAACCATCAAAATGAAAAGAAACAAGAATTTGAAAAGTGTTTCCTGTGTATACAAAATCAATGTCATCTTTTAACTTTACAGTTTAAACTGATGTGCTTGAGGGGACCTTTAAATGTGTTGGCTGTAAGGAGGCAGATATTAGCTGACATATTCCCCAGCCCAGACATACGAGGCTCCTTTGGTCCCTAAAAGTGGTTGGCTCTGGTGATGCTGCCAAAGGATTTAAAAACCTCCATAAGCCCCACTTCTCTTTGTCAGCAGTCCAAATACTCTGCTTTTATTCCAGTCTGAGTACTACTGAATATTGAAGTGGCTTTTGACCAATAAAGCCATTGTGTGTCCTCTCCAGTGACACATTAACAAGCACACACTCAACATGCTAATAAATCTTCTCTGGTGTGAAATTATGCACATTTCCTATCCTCCACCACTCCAATATTTTCCATTTATCATCCCTGCCTCCCTCTAACTAATTTATAAGATTTTTTCTAAGTTATTCCTCTTAAATTTTAAACACTCTTCGCCCATTTCCTTCTGCTTTTACACATCCATCATAGCTCACCATCATCAATCAGATTTTCTTTTTTCACCTACACAGTTTAACTTTTTAATTTCATCCATCTCACACTGAGACCCAGCAGCTGCAGAATAGATGTTTTTTCAACCCAATCGCCCCAAATATGACACACGGATGTGTCTGTGCCAAAACTGGATACGAATTTCAGGAAAGATCTTTTCCGCTAGGTGAGTTCAGCGACATAATCAAAAATGTTTCTGCAAGGTGTCGCTGTAAATGTATTGAACCACCATCAGTGTTCTGTTACAGTGATTGAAAGTCAGAATAATTACATCGTAACTTGAAAACGGACAGCGTAATGACCCATTTTGCTAGAAACACACTGGTGAAAATCATTTGTATGGTTTTTAACCCTTTGAACTGAGGATTATAGTGAAATAAGGACAGTGTCTGTTAATGCTGCCACCGTACTCCAAGGGTTCTGCTCTGCACTCAGGTATCTACAGTTATACTTACTGTGTTTGGGGAAACTCTACAAATGGCTGCTGGAACATTATGATGTTCAATGCAAAGGGGCAGTTTTATGAGATAAAAAAATAAGCCCCCCACCCACGGTTTGTCTGCACATGAGCAACTAAACCGGCACTGATGTATGGCACAAGCTGCATTGCCAACAAAACATATCCAAACAGAGTAAATATAATAGTGTAGCCTACCAAAACCTGCTCACATGACCTAAACATGAGCCTTCAGAGGAACATGGAGGCAATCACAGAGCTCATTAATCTGGAACTAGCTCTAAGAAAACTGCAAACAAATCTGCAAAAAGAATCAAAACAGATTATAAATGGAGAGTGGAAAAAAAAATGTCTGGGTTCTGGTACGTCAAGCTAAACTAAGATCCTTAACTAGGCCTGGCAAAGGACTATGAAAGAATGCATAGTTGTGGATGTGCATGCATGAACACACAGTGTAACGAATCTGTCATCATAGTCCTGTTGTGCACAGTGGGACTTAGTGACCTGCTGGGAAGACAGTCTGTATTTTTAGCAGCTAAATTAACAGGCTTCGCCTTCTGGGCATCTCAGAATAGAGATGGGGTAGTCTAAATCTGCCTATAATCCACATGTCTCCCTGTTTGTAAGGTTAAGATGCTACAACAAAGTGACATGGTCAAGAACGCAGCAAATTTGACCTTCTTCAAATACCAAAGGCACAGGTGATCACTGGCACACAGACACACATCCCCAGTATGTGATCAGAGTGGCAGGTGTTAGACCAGCGGATGTAGCCAAAGAGAGACTGACTGCCTGCGATGTTAGGAGGGTAGACAGCAGAAAGATAAGAGGGTGGGGTATCAGACAGTGACACTAAGGAGATGTGATGCTGTCAGAGAAAGGAAGAGGGAGAGTAGAGGATGGGGAGCAGAGAGAAAGGACTTTAGGGAAAGAAAAGGAAGGGGAATGGAAGACTGAGAAATGGAATCAAAATGGAACTACATTTGCAGAAGGACAAAAATTAAAAACATAGAAAAGCCAAATAATAATGAAATTGTCTAATTTAAAATCTTGATTATATAAAACATGTTCCATATACAAATGTATGTAGAGCTGCTGTGTGAGATGTGGAGAAAAATAGAAATCACTCCTTTTACTTACCAGTAACCCGACCGTGTGAATTCCCTAATCACAACGCATAAAGCTAGCTATTTATCAGTGTTAATTACATAGTTATAAACTGTATGGTTCGTTATAAACTTCCAATGTAGCTAAACATGCATCTATTATAAGCCTTTGCTGGCTGATACTGATTTTCTTTGAGGCATGACCTTAATTTGGTCTTTTATTCTAGACCAGGGGTCACCACAGAATAAAATTTAAAAGAGCCATGATAAAGATTTTGTAAATACTGAAAGCCAAGGACATCAAACTAAGATTTTCTATTTTTAGAATTTAAAAAGAAAATAAAACTGTAACTATTTACAAAAGAAAAAAGGTCCTTTCTTTTTTAGAATAAGTGAAGGAGGTGCACCACCATAAATATGACACAGAACACATGTAGCCCACCTAAAAATATAGACTTAGACACACAATATTTAAAGCTAAAAACATCGAGTTATTTTAAAAACTATTGTAACTCTGGTGATGTGCGGTTACACTTTTTCTACACAGATGTGGCATGATAACCACTATTGCCTTAATAATTAAAATCATTCATTATTTAGTTTGGTTAGAGCCACTGGGGCCAAAGAGCTGCAGGTTGCAGACATTGTTTTAGACAATACTGAATAAAATGTGCTGCCGGTTTTCTGATAAAGGCAGAAGTAGAATCTTGGAAACTAATTTAATAAATTGTGCCTAAATCTTTACTGATTTCCATGAATCTAAAAAGTGGTGCATTGACTTGCCATAAAAAACCAACAGATTCTACTGTATTTGATCAGATGATCTTTGGAAAATTGGCCTATTCTGATCTCTAGAAGGGCTGGTGCTACTCTAAAAACAACACTCATTGTGTCCATGTCTAAACCTTCTATCCAAATCAGTGACATACACTGTATATGGATCTAACGTGATTTAATGCAGCACTAGAGACCAGATGGTCACATATCTGCCACCTCGCTGTTCCTGTTTGGCTCAGCTTATCTTTGCATGTCACTGGGGGAGGTAATCAGAGATACAACTACTACACAAACATCCCCACAAACAAGACCCCTTAGGGGCATTTGACGCCACTGCAGATGGTGTTTAATGGTTTGTTTACAATGTGTTGCATGCATGAATAGGCTTTCCTGTTCAGATCACCAACCCTTGACCTCCGACTCCTATCGCTAAGCAGGTCAGAAGCCTGCAGATACATCGTAATGTTTACATCTACCACACAAATCATTAAAAACATATTAACTCAAAGAAAAAAAAGATACATTTATAAGCAAGAGCCTTAATTTGAAGAGAGCAAGTATTTCTCACTTGTTTATGAGTGTGAAATTGATATAACTGCATGCTGTACCGTCAAAACAGACATTTAGTTTAATAATTTTGAAATATTATAATACAATAAATAGAATAATTTAAAGTTTTTCTATCCAGAGAAAGCCTTTCCTTTGACTTGAAAATGTATGTTTTCTTCTGTATCTTCCATTAAAAGTGAA